CTGTTTAAAATAAACGGAGCGTTTGCGTAAATATGGGTATCTACTGATAAATAATATTTAAAGGGATAAAAAATATGTCGGATTAATAAAGGAAAACCCCACAATTTTTAGAAATTGTTTACGTTTCGGATATGAAAGTGAACTATTTGTAATGAAAACGCCTTTGAATTTTGCAGATAATTGGTGCAACTCACTACCTGTGTCCTCGTCGTCGATTCTTATAAAAAAAAATAATTTAATTTATTACCCCTTTCAATACATAAAATGACATGTATACAGTAAATGAATATCTGTAGTGTGCGCGTGTGTGTGTGTGTGCATCAAGTGCTTTGCATTGCTTCGCTTGCCTATTTTCTCCTTGTTCCGCCTCTTCCAAAGAAACTTATGACTGCGACGACGATGGTTTAATGCCGATGGAACTAACGCTGATAATATCGTCTGCTCCAGTGAAATTTAGACTCTTCTTATTCTGGCATTCGATCGACTTTTGGGCGGATCAATAATTTGGATTGGTACCAGCCGATCACACCAAAACTGTTTCAGCTATTTTGAGAAGCCTCTGCACCATCGAACATCCACCCACCGAATAAAAAAGAAAAAAAAAATCATTCCTACTTCTAACATTAGATTTTCTCGCTTGGTCGTCGTCTTTTCCTCTATCGGGTTACTCGTGTTTTTATTTTATTTTCTTTTTAAACTTTTTTTTTTTCTTTAATACTTTTTTTTTTTTATTTTCCATCTACACTTTCTGATTTTTTTTTTTCTAATAAAAAACAAAACAAAAAAAAACTGTCTTTTTTCTTTCGTATTTAAAACAACAACAAAAAAAGTGATTCTTTTTTTTCCCCATCAGTGACACAGAAATCAGAACTAGGATATTACCATCGGAAATCACAGATTCGGATGTAAAAATAAACGAATGTAGAATGTCCTACAACAAATAAAACATGTGACAATAAAAACGTAAATAATTGAAGGTAAAAAAAAAAAAATGTACTAGGTTACACTATAGAAATTTTATATGTAATATTGTTTAAACGCTCGAATAACTAATGTTTTTGACGTTAACTCGTAAGTAATTTCCGTTTTGGCGGGGGGGGGAACAATTGTAATAACGAATGTATGCAATATTACCATTCGTCCATGCTTTGAATATTCCTGCTGCATTTGGTCCGGTGCTTCTGCTATGTATTTAGAGATTCTTGATAAAATCCAAAGAAGAATCTTTGATGTTATCGGTCTGGTCTCACTGCTTCAGCCATTTCCCCATCAAGTATTACAGCTACTCTCTGCCTTTTCTATAAATATTTTTATAAGTGTTCTGACGAACTTTCTTTTACATTAACGTTTTTTTTCTTTTCTTTCCTTTTAATCATTTCATTCGAAACAAAACAATAAACCCTCTAGGAAGCAAGAACTTCACAGAGTGTTAGAGAATATAAGAAAGAACTATTTTAAGACAATAAATGAACAAGAGAAGACAGAAGATAACGATTGACATCATACTTATTATAAAACGCAGATTGTGTGTGTGTGTGTGTGTGTGTGTGTGTGTCTGTACGTTTATATATTGGATCGGATTTCCTACATTTTTTCAACCGATTTCAACAAAACTTCACAGGACTACATAAAATTACCTTGCGGTGGTAATAATATTGGACAGCGCCCCAAATTGGAAAAAACACAATTGTTTTGGCGCGAAATCAATTTGAAAACACGATTAAGAGAGGTATCGCGAGAATGAAAGGGCGACAACTCATATCGAGTTATACTTATTATAAAACCTAGGTTGTTTGTGTGTGTGTGTTCGTTTATATATGGCATCGGATTTCCTACATTTTTCAACCGATTTCAACAAAACTTCACTTTTTTTTTGGCAGGTAGTGTTTCTTATTGTGTTTCACATTTTTTTCTTTATTTTTACATTCAGAATGCTTTAAAAATTCCATTTACAAGACAATTGTTTATAATAAAATTCTATTCAATCGGTACACTCATAACGATTGAAAACAATGTTTTTGTTTCAGTTTGGGTTTCAACAATTCATAAAAAGAAAAAACTAATTAAGACATGCGTGTCCGTCAACCTTAAACAATAATCTTTGTCAATTTTATTTTTCAGTTTTTATGATACTTGATCTATCTCCTACTGTTACATCCCAGAGCAACGACGGGCTCTACTGCTAGTAGCATATCAATGTTTGAAGATCAAAGTCGGCCGGAAAGCATGAAGCCGGAATAGAGTGCCAAAAGCGATCGAAGGAACTGTTAACATAGAACTTACGGTTACCTCTGACAATTTTAATTGCAAAATGATGAGACCACGCCGCCAATCTAGTACATCCCTTCACAACAATTAGGTTAGAGTTTTCTGGAAAATCTATTTTATTCCCTCAGAGATTTTTTTTTATTTTTTTAAAACTGCTCCCCCCCGACACCCCCCCAAAAGGACAATTTTTTTTTGATATGTCTCGCCTGCCGATTCAGCCGAATCATTGTTTTTACTGCCTTCATCACCAACATTTTCTTTTCTTGCTGATACTTCACCAAATAGACCAGGATCCTTCAAGGTTGCGGGTTACTGAGTGCATTGTAAGGGAGCAGGAAGTAAAGGGGATATACCGGGTGTAACAGCAAAATTGTCCCAACCGTGTAACAGCATAATTGTTCATCCCACAAAATGTTTAATATATATATATATATATATATATATATATATAAAACACTAAACTAATTGAGTTTGTTTTTGCGAGGTTTTCAGAGAAGACGTTTAGCCATGTTGATACCATTTGTCGTACGAATCAGTGAAAAATCCCTTTGAGTTATTCAGCTAGAAAGAGAACAGTTTAAAGTTGTTTTGTGTCAAGGCCCGATATCTTGCAAAGTGTGTAGAAAAATAGCTTTCAAGCTTTCAGTAATAGCATCCAGCATTCGTATTCTGACTTTCATCTTCAAAGTCCATTCGAGAACCATCGAGAGAACGGGGAATAAGTTTTAAAAAGGGGGAAGAGTAGATAAGAAAACTGGATCACGAAGTCACAACAGGAAGAGGGAGGATCATTTTAACATAGAGCTAAAGAGATCATTTAGAAAAGATCCAATTCAATGCATGAAACTTTTGGCACGTCAGAGAGGAGTTTCAGCAATGACAGTCCAAAGAGCCGTGAAAAAAAGACTTAAAAATGAAATTGTATGTGAAAACCTGTGAGGTATGTTGTTACTCCAGGACAGACAGTTAGGAGGTTAGACAGGGTGAAGATCATCTTCAGTAAGTTAGAAAATGTTCCGAAAATATTATATATATATATATATATATATATATATATATATATATATATATATATATAATATATAAAGAAAGAACAGTAAGATATAAAATCCGGTGTTCTTATAGATATTCGCTTGAAGATGAAATGGAACTAATGCTTTTAATTTAATTGCAAAATTAAATTCGGGGTTTTTAGTTTCTATTTTTGAAACATGGTTAGAACTGTGTAGCGGACAAAAACCATATTTTAAATCAATTAATTTATAATATATATATATATATATATATATATATATATATATATATATATATATATATAAAGTTTATTTCAATCCTTCATGAGCTTCCGATCAATACATATGATTAATTAATGATGAACATGTCATTTTCGTTTTATGATCGATTTCATCACGACTCTTCTGTTAAGCTCGGAGAGTAATTATACATTGTTATTGCTCGAAGTGGAGTCTAGTAGTATTATAAATATGCTTGAGGAATTCCAATAAGATATCTTTAATCATTTCTAAGATACACTGATTCAAAGCTTAATTTAACAAATTGACAATTTTACTTTTACACGATGTGGACAATTTTCTAAGGAAATGCGAATATCTGCAAGTACTTAGCGAATTTACCATAAATTGTTGATTCCGCATTTCGTTTTGAATAATTCGTGAAATTTCGATCTGTTATATTAATGGTTATAGATTTTAATTATTCGTCCCCTGCTTATGAAAATTATGAAATAATATTGCTCTACAACTGTAATGTTTTCTTTTTGTTGTTGTTTTTGTTTTTTTTAATTTGACATTTAATACAAACAGCCTTTGAAAATAAAATAGTATTAACCGGGTTCTATAACATTCTAAAAGGCAATGAAGAAGACAATATGTGAATGCCAAGTACCGTGATAACTCGTTAGTTCTGCAACTATGGCGAAGACAGCTGGACTTGACAAGAAACTCTGAATAAAGATTGTTGATGCGTACAAATAAGGTGATAGACATACAACATTTTCCAAGCGTTTAAATGTTCCTAGATCGATAATTCGTAGCATTATCAAAAGCACAAATTAAGATATTAGCATAGCCTGCACAAAGTCCTGACCTAAACCACACTGAAATAGTATATTTGCAGAAGAAAGGTAATAGAAAGAAGTCCTTCAAATCGGAAGGAAGAATGAAGTGAAATATATATTAGGTGTGTCGTGATCTTAAAAGGCACTATTAAAAACGATTAAATGCAATAATCGACAATAATTTAAAGACATTTTTATGCTTATACATTCTTTTTTTTTATAGATGCAAATATTAAAGAAGATGATCTGTTTATAACAAACAGTATTAACGACATTTACCGTCTTGAATGTCCGAGAAATATTCATAGAAAATATGCGTCCTCCGACAAGAATCGAACATGTATCCTATACGGAACCGTCATATAGCCTGACGTGCTTTTACCGATTGAGGATCGTTTCGGTTAGCAAGGTCGATTTTACTGTTTTTAAACTACAATTCTCCATGATTTTCTCACGTACATTCATATTTGCTCGATGCGTATCCAAATGTAAACAAATGACGTCACGCATCATGAAATGGACAAAGTCCGACGATTATTTTAAGATACTTTTTTATGTTTATATTCTTTTATGGTTTTATTGTTCTTTTATTTTTTTATGTTTTTATTCTTTTTATAGATACAAATCTTTAAGTAAATGCTCTGTTTATAATAAA